TTTTGTAAAATGTATACTTGAATAATCTGGCTTTGAAGTGCTTGGAATTTCCTAAAAAGATATTTAAAATTCTCAAAAATATATAAAACATTATTTGATGACAAGTTTGTTGAAGACAGAAATTCATCAAGAATATCATTGGCAGATTTAGTAGTAGATTCATTGCCCATTTTGTTTTCTTCGTTGAACAAAAAATCTGGAGTGGATTTGTTGTGATGAATTGATGGTCCAGTGGATGCTGCCGTTTCCGTTTTTGTAGTAATTTCCTGATCCACTAAATTAAGCAAATCATCAATACTTTTATTTTTAGCTGAATTTCTAGAAGAATTTTGATTCAAAGTTGGAGGAAATATAGAATTGAATTCGTCAAGTAAATTTGAACAAGTAATATTGCTTGTAAAAGTTTCGCTAGTTGCCGGAATATCAATTAATTTTTGTTGAAAAGAGGGTATGGAAGCTGTCTCGATTTCTGTTAAAAAATAAGATTGTGAATAAAGAATATTTTTAATTCAACCATTAAGAATGTTGTCATCATCTTCCCAAGCTGATATCAAAACATCATCTCTTTTCTCTCCAACAATATTCTTATTCAAATCGTTTCCGAAAGGATGATCATTCATACCTGTCGCAATAGCTTCTAGTTTTGGATGCAAATTCAGTTGTGGATCTTCGTGTGTTAATTGAACAGTTCGAGTTTTAAATAAAGATGGGGCAGGAGGTCTTGGAGGCGGTGCTTTTCTCTCTAGGTTTGAATTAGATTTAGCTGGGTCAGGTTGAGTTGCTTCAAATCCCAATTGAGTTTTCAAATGTTCTGAAAAATATTTACAATTAAATATGTAAAAGTTAAAAAAGTAACCAGATAAATTTGTGACTGGAGTCTTCTCTTTAATCGTCTTAATTAAATTCATCCCACGATCGAAAAACTTAACAGACTGGCCGTACTACAAAAACAAAATTTTCATGCTTACATTAGTCTAAATAACAATAATAGCTTGCCAATGATTGTGTAGATGCAGAAAACTCATTTTTAGGTATCAAAGAGTCCAATCTATCAGATGGTATAACAGGCTCGTTTAGATTCACATTTAAAGCCATAGCAATATCTTCAACCTTAATACAACATGAGTTAAAATTGAAAATGTATTAACCTGTTCACACAAATCTTGAATTGTAGGACGGGAGTACGGATCAGGTTGAAGTGTTATTTCTGTAAACAAAAAAATCATTGCTTTATTAGAGTTCTGAGATTACTAATTAAGTCGTGAAATATTCGAAATGGAGAATTGCTAGTTATTGAGTATTTTGCGTTTATAATTCTAAGTTTAGCACTATCTTCAAACGGATGCACTTTAAAGCAGATATAGAAAAGTACACAACCAAGAGCCTTTAATAAGTTAAATATTATCAAAAGACGCCAAAATTAAAAATACCCAAATATCTTGCGCAGGCCCTATCGGATAGTTTTGATATGTTTCTAAAATCTCAGGTGCACGATACATTGGTGTTGTGTGTTTTGACATCTAAAATGTCAGTTATTAGTCAGATTTAAGATAAATTTATAAACCTCCTCTTCCAATTGTGAGCGCATTAATGCGTTCCAATCATCCTTAGGTCTGTAAATATCAGTTGTAGCACTTCCGAAATCACAAAGCTTAATAAAGCCACGAGAGTCAAAAAGGAGATTTTCAATCTAAAAAAGGAATCATAAAAGAATCTAATTCAATATAAACCTTAATATCTCTATGTGTAATAGGTGGATTGCGATCATGCATATGTTGAACAGCAGAGCAAGTTGAATAGAAAATTTTACAAATTTGTTCTGTGCTCAATTCCATCTTTTGTAAATAGTCAATTAGAGGGCCACCAGAGCACAATTCAGTCAAAATTAAAAATTCGGCATAACATTGCTGATGCCTTTGCATAGTTTTTGAGCCGTCAAGTTGCGTTGAATGAACAAAATGTACAATTGCTGGATGTCCATTCAACTAATCAGATTATTAAATAAAATATTTACAGCAAATAACCAACTTGTTTCATAAATCTCATCTCACGCAAAACTGATTCTGCTGTCGCTTTATCATGAGCCAGTTGTCTTTTTAGCGCAAACCATTCACCATTCCTCACATCTTGTACAGCGAACTTAAAAACACATGTTAAACAAAATTAAGATTTTAGATACCACAAGAGCAAAACCGCCCTCAGCAATTAAAGACCGAACAGTATACGATTCACTGCCAACCTCAATAGTTTGACCAATTAAAGCATGTTGATCAGCTGACAGTCCAAATTGAGAGCTTGCCTGACTAAGATAATTCAATGCCGTTTGAAGAACCATTTTAACAAAAAAAACTTTGAAAAATTAAAACTAATTCTAGGAAAATAAAATTTTTGTTCAAAACATTGTAGAAATTCAAACTAATTCAAAAAATATTTATTTATTAGTAAAATTTAACGAAAATAAATCAAAAGCGCATTGGAATATTAGGCCAAGTTTGTGGCTTGTTTTCATTTACTTGCTTATTAAAATTTTCTTGAATTGACAATTCCTGCTCTCTCAACTTCAAAAAAGCTGGCTCCCCATAAAGTGCTTTCTTTTGGCCATTCTGATGAGACATGGTTGACCGATTTGATGAGCGAAAATTTCCCAACCGTCCAACTAAAATTAGTTTTATAAATTTTGAATATCTTGCTAATATACCAGTAGTAGCATCACGATACTCCAACCCTTTATTCATAGAATTAGCAAGCGCTGTTTCAATCCGTTTATGTTCATCACCTTAAATTTGTTGTGTTAATTGAAAAGGATTTTAAAAAGAAAACAAACGTTGTTTGCGATGATCAATGGATTTACGCAAAAAGTCGACCACTTCTGGAGTCAAATCAGAATCTGAAAGACTTTGCATGCTTTTACTGCTTTGTGGAGCATCATTATTAACACGTCCATTGTTCCAATGTTTCCATGCCATCTCACGTGCCCTTGCCTAAAAATAAAAAAACTAAAATAAAATATTTTATAAACCTCAATTCCAATCCATTTTTGTGCAATATTATAATGATCCCAAAAGTTTGCAAAATCCTCTTCTTTCCACTGTCCTTTCCCTAATCCAGCACATTCACCATGTGAAGTCATTTAATCTTAACAAAATCACTTGAAAAATCTGCAAAAAAAGTTTTTACGAACAAAAAATCACTGGACTAAATGGAAAATTTATTGGCGGGGTTAATTGAGTCTCGACATTTGAGTCTCTAAGGTTGAGAATCCGGTCCATTTTAGCGCTGTTGATTGAGTCTCTCAACGGCGGGACTCAATAGCACGTTCCAAAAACTCATAAAATGACAAAACGCCAATGACTATTTTTTAACATTTAAAATAAAAATTTTTGACCACCCCCACCACCCCAGGCTATAAAATTTCAGCTGACAAATTGTATAACTTGCTCCAAAAATTATGATTTTGTTTGTTTATTTGGCCTCTTTCATTTTACTGCAGAAATATTTTGCTGTTTTTATTAAAGTCCTCCAAATGATAGAAAAATTCCAACAAAATAGTTTCTGTACATGTTTGCAATTATTTCATTTAATTTGTTTACTCCTATTCTATGGACACGTTTATCAAAAAATTTGGGTAATCCTATATGAAGTTAAAGCAGGGCTCTCATTCGTGCTTTATTTGAAAGTATTATACTTTGAAACCGACCTCCATACTTAAGAAATTGAATTTATACTTTATTGAAAGTATATACTTTAAAATCAACATTTTGGATTGAAAATGAAATTGGGGAAGGGATTGGGCAAAAAAGTGAATTTTTTTAGCCTTGGGCCTTCGAAATTATCAAAATTTTCGCCTGCGGCGCTGAAAAAGAAAGAAATCTGGCTTCTTGGGCTCCAAATTTCAAAAAATTTTCGCCTGCGGCGCTGAAAATGGGAGAAATCTGACTACTTGGGCTCCAAATTTCAAAAAATTTTCGCCTGCGGCGCTGAAAATGGACGAAAGCTTGAGGTTAAGACTGTCAGGGCTTTATTTCTTGTATCAGCGAATTTTGACATGTCATGCGTTGAAATGCACAAAATGCCCAATGGAAGCAAGAAATTATTAGAAAAGATTCATTTAAGAGAGAAATATAAAAGATTTGAGCACGAACAAATATTTTCCAATTTAATTTTGAGTATACTTTAAATTTGGAAATTTTCTCCCTATATACTTTTTTATCAAGATTTTGATACTTTTGAGTGGCATTTTGTCGATGAGAGCCCTGAGTTAAAGTAATGATACCTTAGTATTTTTAGCGACTTGAGTTACAAATTGAGAATAAAAAATTATTATTAACTAATATCCAAAGAGTTAAACGTTCGCCAAAAGCTGGTTTGGAAACAGCTGTAAATGATGAATTGAGCCAGTGGACCGTGTTACTGGGACATGATTCAATCATCCCTGTAAAAGATAGACTCTAGCCTTATTTAACTTTGATTCATATTAGAAAAATGTCTTTGAAATATCTTGTCAAAGAGTACATCGCTACTGTGCAGATGAAGGGAAGAAATTGCGAGGAATGACTGGCCCTCCTGGAGTGAAAGGACCACCAGGAATAATTGGACCTCCTGGAAAGCGAGGGCCGCCTGGTCGGTCAGGCCCAGAAGGTGTTGCTGGTGAATCAGGCGAAAGAGGCCCGCAGGGAAAGAATGGTTCATAATTGTTAAAATTAGTTCATTTTTATTTACACAGGACAGTGCAATTGTTCATTGCCAGATTTATACATTCATCGGATTCCCGTCCCTGGGCCGCCTGTTCCAGTTGACAAACTCGTACCGGTTCCAATTGTGTTAGTCAAAGAAGTAGAAATAACTAAGTTTATAAATTAAAGAGACTAATACTTAAAAATTTGAATGGTATTTCTTAGACTTGTCCCGTTCGAACCAACACCACCCGGCTTTGCCGTAAGGAATTTCTTTTTCATTTATGAATTTTTTGTAAATAGCCACCACTTGGATGGCGCCCGGGCATGCCAATGCCAGATAAAGCACACACACGTCCTATCCCCAAGCCAGGTGTAATTCACTCAAAAGGTCCATTCCGTTTCTGGTGGACTCGTCCTTATCGGAAACGTCCTACTTTATCATCTCACACTATTACTGGGCCAACACCGCCCCCACGCGAATGGAGTCCCAGAGTAGAGGTGAATGTGACAATGAATCAGACAACATTAATACAAGAACCAACCGAACAAGTAAAACGAGGTTAATTAAAATAGGTTTATGGAAAGTAAAAATAAATTTAGAATGTAAGTTGAATGCAGTTGGCATTCCTGTTCTGCATGCCGACTCCCAATATGGTGCTACTGGTTCCTGGTAAATAAGGATGGAATCCGTAATGTACACAAAATTTCAGGTTCCGAGATTCCATGCCACGTAACGAAGAATGGGCACGAAAACGATGGGTCACTGATACATTCGCATCTGCTGTTCTTGTACCTAATATATTAATAGCAATATAGATTCCAAACTATTTTAGTATGAATACGAAAACGAACGCGAGCTGTTGAATAAAAAACAAAATATAAAGTTAAGCAATCTCTAGTGATCTAATACCTAAAAACTTAAAAAGATATTATATGGATTTTTTGGCTGCTGGAACAGGAAGTATGGTCAATAACGCCTCGTACTATTATCATAGACATGGCTCAAATATCTTGGTTCGATACGATTTGGACACTACAGAACAAATCCAGAGTGATTCCCTTGGACCAATATCTTACCTAGATTGTAAAAAATTCTAGATTGAAAAATATAAACAGATTTTCCTTATTTTAAGGCCCGAGAAAGCATGATCAAAGTTTTGAGGCAAGAATTTTTGTATAGTAATTTTCATATTAGACGCGAGAAAAAGAATTTGAAACCTATTTTAGGAATGTAATGAAACAGAAAGGCATCCATGGCTTTATAATCGATCCCATAATTATGTGGACTTTTCAGTTGATCATAATGGGATTTGGGTATTCAGATGAATAAAATTTAGAAAAAAGTTCAGGTTATTTATATGCGCCCTGATTCTGAAAGACTATTGGTCAGTAAAGTGGAAGAGGTCAGAACAAAAATTATAACATAACAAAAACATAACCTCGATAAGTTTAGGACCTTTTAGTAATTGCTACATGGGAGCTAGACGTTAATGGAACGGTTAAAATTACCACCAAATTTTTTCTTTCTAAAATTTTCGTTTTATTAGGAATTAGCAGATGCTTTTGTTATGTGCGGGGTAAATACTTTAAAAAATGATTTAATATTATTTATTAAAAAAGGTATTATACGGACTGGAGAATGCAAAAGATCGCGAGACATTCATCTCTTTTGCCTTTGATTTGGAAAGAAAGAATTTTAAAAATAAATACCTAAATTATTTAGTTAATTAAAAAATTTCAGAAAATGAAAGTCTATTCATCGATGTTCCTTGGTAGGTTAAAATTGAACTGATCGAGATTATTTAAGTGTTTTTTAGGTACAATCCCTATGAAGGTTTGACCCAGATAAGCTACAACCCCACGGATGAACGCATTTACTTCTTTGACTCAGGAAAACTATTAAGCGTAAATGTAAGAATGGAGCTCGATTATTATGACGAACAGGAGGAAATTTTGATGCAATAAAAGAATTTGTCGAAAAATCCTTTCAATAAAATTTTAACAGTTCCATAAAAATAGGACAATTACATTATTGAAAAGATTTAAGAAAAGAAGAAAGTGAATTACAAATTGGCTTACTATTTTTTGATGCTAATAAATGTAATTTATTGACCTTGGAAGTTCGCCGCGTCACTCCCTTGCTTAATTGATTCGATTGAGAAACATTCAACATTTTCGAACTTAAAATAATACTAAATAAACATCCAAATAATCAAAATATGAAACCTTGAACTTTTGTTTGACTTTCTGTCAATTTCAATTGGCGCTGATCTTGAGGAAGATGGAACGTCTATAGTTTTTTCCAAAATAGATACGTCGTTTTTATCTGATGAAAAAAGCGAGGGAAGCTTAATGGGATGCGATGCAGGTTTTTGACATCCTTGACAAATTACCTTTATTTTGGCACTTAAAATAATTTTTTTCAAATAATTTTTTAAAACAAAAACCTTTTATTTCTCCGACATCTTCGTTTGCTGATTTGAATTTTTGAAGCTTTAAAATCGAGTTTAATACCACAAAATCTGCAGCAATCGGTAGGCAATTTTTCAGTTCCATCATCTAACAACTCCTTGGATATTTGAGCACATATTGGTAGTGGAAGATTTTCGAAAACTTCACTCTTTGTAATAGAAAGTAAAAATTTGTTGTTAAGCCGGTCAATTGGAGTTGAAGAATCCATGATAACTTTATTATTGAACTAAATAAAATTTAAAAATTTTTTTAAAAACGATTAATGCTCGGGAATAACTTTAAGTGCATGGACTCAAATGAATTTAGGTGCCGGACTCAAGTGGATTTATATGGTCAAGGTCGATTCAGCGCCAATTCCGAAACGGGCCAACTGATCGGTGCGAACTTTGATCAACTAACTTTTTTTTATTTATTTAGTCTTGATCCCATCTAATGAGTCTTATCATTCGAAGGCCCTCATATCTTATGAAAATTTATTAATTTATTTTTCAGCTTCCAAATGAAAATCGCCCAGATTTTCTTAAAAGGTCTAAAATTTGATTCCGGAATTATAATTCTAAAAAGGCCTCTATCTACAGCAATATCTGAAATCGAAAAATCAGAAAATTACGACATTTCACACAAAGCACCAGTCCTTCCAAAAAAGCTAAGATCAACTGGCGAACCCCTTGACTTTGTTGATTATCAAAAGGTAGTGTGCTCTGGAGGAAATGGTGGCAATGGAGTTATTTCGTTTTTGCGTGAAAAGAATTTTGAATTTGGTATTTTATAACAGTTCTTAAAATGTTTGACTTTATTTTAAATTTCAGCTGGTCCAGACGGCGGCAATGGTGGAAATGGAGGTCATGTCATTTTTAAAGGTTTTTGGTTTTTCTTTTCAAAATTTTTATCCAAATTTAGCTAATTCAAAAGTCAGTGACTTATCGAGAGTAGAATTGTTAATGAAAGCAGAAAATGGACAGGCAGGTATAAAACTTAATTTTAACCGCAAAAATTTGCCAGACTCTTTAAAGGTCAAGGAAAGTGTTGCCACGGCAAAAATGGTGGCCATTTATACGTGGATGTGCCATTAAACACGCTTATCAAACGACCAAGTGAAGATGAACTTCGACCTGTAAAAGAGTCAATTTGGGAACTAACCCATGATGGGGAAATGTTTATTGCTGCAAGAGGTGGTGCTGGTGGACATGGTAATGCTTTTTACCTATCGAATATGGCAAGAAAACCGCTAAAAGCCGAAGAAGGAGGCCGTGGTGAAAAGGTAAAGGATAGATTAAGACGTTGATAAAGTTGTTTTAAGATAGCTTATGATATAGAAATGCGCGTGATGGCAACTGCCGGATTTGTTGGATTCCCAAATGTTGGAAAATCGTATGTTTTAATTTTCAAGCAATTTATCTACTATTCTATTCAGTACACTTCTCAGAGCAATTTCCCGTGCCAAACCTAAAGTGGCTGCTTATCCCTTTACAACACTTAAACCTAGCGTCGGAATGGTTGAATATTCGGATTATTTTCAAGTCGCTGGTTATTTATTCAATTTTAAAATCTTTAATAAAATTTATTTAGTTGCCGACATACCCGGCTTAGTGAAAGGAGCTCATAGGAATGAAGGTCTGGGTTTCAGTTTTTTGAGGCATATTCTTCGTTGTGAATGCATCCTTTACGTCATTGATTGTTCCCAAAATGATTTGCAAAATCAATGGCTTTCATTGAGAAGAGAATTGGAATTGTATGATGCTGATCTAAATAAAAAGGAAACTGCAATTGTTTTTAACAAAATTGATACATTGAATAATAGGGTATTTTTAAAAATATTTTTATGAAAATTAATTAACAATATTCAGATAGAATTTGAGAAGAAAGCCGCAAAAATGTACGCCGGTCAGCGGCTATTTTTTATTTCGGGAAAGTATAGACTAGATCTTCAACCTTTATTGATGTATTTACGTGAAAAACATGAAAGATTTTTAATTGAAAGAAAAGCCCTATTGAAGAAAGAGGAGGAACAGATGATGATGTGATTTTTTGTTTGAAATTTTTACAACTTTATCTCTTTTTTAGCAAAGCGAAATGTACCAAATAGAGAGGGAAGATATTTGAGGTAGTGTGCTAAAAAGAGAGATTTTTCTAACGTTAGAGAAAAATATTAGTACAATAACTCTGGCTGTTTGAGTGCTCAATAATGAGAGCACGATAACTACTGTAACCAAACCAGAATTGTATTTTTTAAAATCGAAGTGTTTTTATTTTCGAAAATTATTAATCAATAAAATCGATACTTCCGTGATCGACAACCGGTGATAATTGATGAATTCAAATTACACCGAAAGATTGATTTTACGAAAGGCTCAGATTCATGTTATCGAGACTAGTGATCTTTTTAAAGAACTATCTCTTTTTTTAGCAAAGCGAAATGACCGAACTGAGAGGGAAAATATTTAAGGTAGTGCGCTAAAAAGAGAGATTCGATTTTGTTGATAATATAATAATCTTTGATCATAAAAGACTATTCGACTTTTAATAATTCATCATTCAGATTCACATACAGTATTTATTGCGCTCTCAGTATTGAGCACTTAAACGGCCAGAGTTATTGTACTAATATTTTTCTCTAACGTTGATAAATCTCTCTTTTTAGCACACTACCTCGAATATTTTCACTCTCTATTTTCACTTTATTTAAAAAAGAGATATTGTTCTTTAAAAAGAACACTAGAGTCTCACTGGGCATATCCATAAAGTTCCTCTTTTTTTCGGTTGTTTGTATAATTCATTTTCATATTTTAATGTTTAATTACTAATTTTATTAGAATGCGCATTAAAAAGATTGAAATTGAAGGCTTTAAATCGTATTCTCAGCTGGAAGTTGTAAACAAACTAGATCCACAGTTTAATGCAATAACTGGTTTGAATGGCTCTGGTAAATCAAACATTTTGGATGCAATCTGTTTTCTGCTTGGTATAACTAATTTGGCAAATGTTCGTGCACATTCACTTTCTGATCTTGTTTACAAACAAGGCCAAGCTGGTATAAATCGTGCAACAGTTACTATTACTTTTGACAATAGCGAGCAGCAACCGGCCGGTTACGGCAAGTTCAAAGAGATTATTGTTCGAAGACAGGTTTTCAATTTTTGTTTGAAAGACAGCACCAATTTTCAGATTATCATTAATGGGAGAAATACATACCAAATAAATGGAACTGTGGCGACTAATCAACGGGTTTCTGATCTTTTTCGAATGGTTGGTATAAATGTGAACAATCCGCATTTTTTAATAATGCAAGGACGAATAACAAAGGTTCTTGGTATGAAGCCATTAGAGGTGAATTTATTTATCTTTTATTAGAGTTTCAATTTTATATTTAGATTCTTTCAATGTTAGAGGAGGCAGCTGGCGTCCGTATGTATGAATGCAAAAAACTAAATGCCATTCGTATTATCGAAAAAAGAGATGCCAAAGTTGATGAAATTAACAAGGTTTTTTGGTTTCAATTATTTATTACTATTGATATTCAGCTTTTTGAAGAAGATATATTGCCTCGTGTAGAACGCTTAAAGAAGGATCGTGAAAATTATTTGGAATATCAGAGAATTGAACGTGAGGTTCAAGTTCTTGAACGAAAGTTTAATGCTTATGATTATCATAATAGTCAGGTATTATAAAATCATTAAAGATTCATTTTTATATTTCTTATTTAGTTGCAAATTAAAGAACTCGAAAACAAGGCCCAAACCTTTCGACAACAAATTACCCAAGTAATAAAGGAACTTGATTTGTTGCAGCAGGAAGCAAAACGTGAAGAAGAAAATTTACGAAAAATGGAATCGGAGAGTGCTAAAAATACTGCTCCTGAATTTCAGAAATTGGAGAAATTACTTAAGGAAAAACAAAGTTCACTTGCAAAAATAGAATCAGAAAAAGATGGAAAAGAAGTTTTATTAAAAAAAAGATCTTTTAAGTTACATTTTATAGGCTGATCTTAAAGAGCTACAAGTTTCTATTGAACGGAAGATTGAATCGTTAACTGGTGATAGACAACATCTAGAAACAAAGAAAAATTACCTTGCCAATGCTCAATCTGAAAACGGGACTGTGGAACAGCGTGGATTGTCTGCTGAAAAAGCTGTTCAAAGAGCACGTCTGAGACTAGAAGCATTGGCTCGTGGAATGACTACTGATGAGCAGGGAAATGCCGTGACTTTAGAGGCGCAACTTATATGTATTAAATATTTTCTTGTGCTCTAAATCTTGTA